GGCTAGCTGAAAGCGCCAGTCTGCGTACGGTTCGGCGGCGCCCTCCCGGCTCCACAGGTAGCGGAGCAAAAAGGATTTTCGTGGCATCCGTCCCTTTTCTCAGGGCTTCTGTTCTTTTTTGTTTTTGTTATGCATGGCACTGCACATGAAATTGATCATCCTGATTTGACACCTGATCTTGTGTGTTTCACAACGAGTGAAAGAAAAACCTTTGAAATCAAGTACACAAAGAAGATGGATTCCGGATTTGGATACACACACCAAAAGGAAATCGTTTTCCGAAAAGCGAAACTCAACCGAAGCAGATGGATTTTACATGGATATGTTTCGAAGAGAAAACTCTGCAATTGCTCCAACCAACAAAACTCTAGGGCTCAAACCTAGGAGATTTGGACCCCTGAGGGTCGTTTGTTTTCCAAAGCAATGAAAAGGGGGTGGCTTTAGCACGGGGCATTGATGTAGGGGGTTGGGAGTTTCAGTGGCTTGTGGTTCCCAAATCCAATATCCCTAAATAAAACCCGTAAACCTTTGCTGGGATGCCCTAAAACGCTGAATCCTCGGCCCTAAATCGTCTAGACCCCTTAAATAAGTTCCGCCCTAAGCTCTCTAAGCCCTTTAAAATCTCTAAGCCCTTTAAAACCAGAGCCTTAGACCCTTAGACCATATGTGATTTGTAAGTTCGAAACCCTAATTACTTAAATCCTTATAATAACACCCACATAAGCCCTGCGCCACACCACCCCTAAGCCCTAATACTCACCAAACTCCCCGGTCTCGCCATCGACTCGTGATCTTTGACTGAACATCTACGAGCACTTCGGCAAGGACGGGGTTCGTTCAGGGTTGGCTGCTGCGTGGCTCTGAGAGAGAGCCACCAGCAGCAGGGGTGCTGAGAGAGCATCCCGGTGCTGAGAGAGCACCGAAAATGGGGGCACTGAGAGAGTGCCCAAGTCGGCACTGCGAGAGTGCCGAAAATGGGGCACTGAGAGAGTGTCCCGGCTCTGAGAGAGAGCCAAAAAGGGGGGCCCCGGAGTGAGACGCACTTCAACTGGGGCCTCCTTGACACTGAGAGAGTGTCTAAAAATTGGGTGGATGGGTGGTGGGTGGGTGTGGAGTGGGTGGGTGGGTGGGTGGAGTGGGTGGGTGGGCGGGTGGGTGGGTGGCTGTGTCTCTGTCTGTGTGTGTGTGTGTGTGTGTTGTGTGTGTGTATGTGTGTTGTGGGTGTGGGTGTGGTGTGTGTGGTGTGTGTGGTGTGTGTGGTGTGTGTGGTGTGTGTGGTGTGTGTGGTGTGTGTGGTGTGTGTGGTGTGTGTGGTGTGTGTGGTGTGTGTGTGGTGTGTGTGGTGTGTGTGGTGTGTGTGGTGTGTGTGTGGTGTGTGTGGTGTGTGTGGTGTGTGTGGGTGTGTGTGTGTGTGTGTGGGTGTGTGTGTGTGTGTGTGTGTGTGTGTGTGTGTGTGTGTGTGTGTGTGTGTGTGTGTGTGTGTGTGTGTGTGTGTGTGTGTGTGTGTGTGTGTGTGTGTGTGTGTGTGTGTGTGTGTGTGTGTGTGTGTGTGGGTGTGTGTGTGTTGTGTCTGTTGGGTGTGTGTGTGTGGTGTGTGTGTGTTGTGGTGTGTGTGGTGTGTGTGGTGTGTGTGGTGTGTGTGTGTGTGTGTGTGCGTGCGTCGTGTGCGTGTGTGTCTGTGTGTGTGCGTCGTGTGTGTGTCTGCTGTGTGTGTGTGTGTGTGTCTGTGTGTGTGTGTGTGTGTGTCTGTGTGTGTGTGTGTGGGTGGGTGGGTGGGTGGGTGGGTGGGTAGGTGATGGGGTGGGTGGGGAAGGTGATGGCGTGGGTTGGGGAGGGTGGATGGGGTAGTGGGTGAAAAGCTTTGTGAGGGGGGGTGGGTGTGCACTCCACATGCGAAAAGCACTCTGGTCCTCCGCAGGACAGCACTGGCACCATCGTCAAGGGCGCCCTCGATGATGAGTCAGTGCCGGCCTGAATTCAGGAGCAGTCGTTGTTTTGGGGATGCGTCTAGACTTAATTCGTGTCGGCTCTGAGTATCGGGCTGTGCATGCGATCTCAAAGTGTAGCCTGCATGTCGTCATGGTACTGTCACAAAACACACGCACATCGAAGTTCGTGGACATAAAGAAGGACGCAATAGTATTTTCATTCACCGGTGTCCGCACGATTGTCAAGCGGGAGTAGTCGGAGTGTGTGGCTCCGGTGATGAGGGTGGCGTCGGAGGTGACTTTCGTGCCTGGCACAGCACAAACGAAGGGCTTGGGCTGAAACGGTTGACTCGAATTCGGCCTGAACGATCAGCGAACTCCCCGCTGGCCATGGGGTTTTGGGAGCTGGCACCTGCTGTGGGCTGACATTGAAACGATTCACACGAGGGCCGTAGATGGGTCGGGCCTGCATCGGTGTTCGTGGACCGGGAACGGCGGGAGTCTGTGGTGCCTGACATTGAGTGAAACAGCGATGCGGGAAGTGAACTTCTTTTCCCATGCCTCGATCGGAGTCCTGGGAGCCTGACAATGGACATGGATCTACGTAGAACAAATCGCAACTTGCTCACACTGGGTTCAAAGCCTTCTCGATTGGAGCTGGAGTCTTTGGCAGGGGCACCTGACATAATGATGGTTGCAAGGCTGGGGAAGGGGCTCGCTCCTCGATGCTGAATACTGAGTCTGGGGCCGCAGTCACAGGAACATACTTGGCAGTCGGTGGCAAAAGAGTGCGCACTTTCTTTGCGGGGGGAGCCTCCCAATAAAAGAACAATTGAAATCCATTCTCAGCATCAACTTGGCTCCGCTCCTGAGACTCAGCTCTGGCCGGCGACTTGTGCACCTACCCAATTGTAAAGTCGGACAAAACATGGTATGATTAGCCTGGATAGCCGCGAGCCTGCGGCACTGACCCCGTAGCCGATGCTGTTGCCACCTCTCCAAACACGGGTCCGGGTGGCACCAACCGAGTGCAAAAACCGTGGAGGCCTCTGGTGAAGTTCCAGCGGGCTCTGCAGGTGGCGGCCGTGACACCTGCCCGTGAAATCACATTCTGTGTTTCTGTAAGTACTGTTCCGGACATGGTCGAAGGCTGTCATCGGGCCTCGGGCGGAGCACCGGAACCAAGCACCTGCATGGGTTTGCAAAACATCATGACACACAAGACGACCCGAGCTCCTAAAACCGGACACGGCCTTCAAGTTCAAGGGGCGAGCGTTGGGAAAATCAGGAGCAGCCGGAGCATTCGCCTGCAGGAAAGATCTGAGGATGAGTGAGGTTCCAAGCAACAGGAGTCGCAACATAAGCAAACCTGGTTGTACTGCCGCTCGAAAGCTCCGCAGAGGAGCTTGTACCGCTCCTGACAGGGCGAAATCTGAATCTGTGATTCTTCCCAATGCTTTGAATACTCAGCTTCCAGCCTTCTCCTCTGTCAGATCTTCGATGATCTTCCCATACGTCTTCTCCTGCACAATGATTAATGACAGCTGGAGTGAGACTCCAGGCCAGAGACGAACCCAGCCTTCTCGGCTATCGCTGCCTTGGCCTTCTTCTCCGCCTGGTCCACTTTGCCATCCATGTATTCCTGTTCAGTCAAGGCACAAAACAACGAGGCACTTTCCCAAGGAGTGCCCGTGCCTTGAACTTCTCGAAGTCCCGCTTGATGGCAGCAGTCTGCTCCAGGCTAGCCTTTCGGTCCGCCTTTGCCTCGTCGTTCTCCTTCCGCATTTCGATGCACTCTTTTTTGAAGACTGCTCTCGCATCGTCGAGCTTCTTCTGGAGAGCGGCCTTCTCAGTCAGGGCAGCGGTGGTCTCAGCCTGCGCACCGCGCCCCTTCTTCTCCAGCTCCTGCAGCTGCGCCTTGAGCATCCCATTCTCGTCGACAAGCTCCCGGTTCCTCCTGTGCTCTATGTCGAACGACTGCTCGGCATCCTCGAGAAGCTCCCGGCTCCTTTTCTGCTCCTGCTCCAGCGACAGCTCGGCAGCCCAAGCCTCCGCCTGGGCATCTTTCAAGGCGGACTCTTGCTGCTGCAAAGCATATTCTGCCCTCAACATCCTCTGATGGTCCTCCTTCCATCGGTTGTATTCTCTAGCGTTCTGAGACCCTCCGCGGCTGTGTGTGGCGGATGTCTTGGCTTTGGCCTTAGCCGCACCCTGACCATTCCTCCTGGGCTTCGGCTTGGGCTTGCACTTCGGTGTCGCGGCAGCCGTTGCTGCCTCTGCCTCAGCCTCGTCATTCTCTGCCCAATTCTGCGTCCAGGTATTCTCATAATAACCCGTGTCATTCTCTGCCCAGTTCTGTGTCCAGGCATCATCATAACCACCAGAGCCAGCACTTGGCTCCTGCCCAGGCCACGAGTTCTGGCCCCATTGGTCCCAAGAACCATAGTTTGCCATGCTGGCGACGAGTTGTCTCTCGCTTCTGAGATTCGTGTTTGCACCAGGCTAGACTCTCGCTTCTGAGATTTGCACCAGGCTGGGGCAGTTCTCGGGTTTTTGGTCCACACAAGTATGTGCTATTGGCATTCTGGAGACCTACCTGTCTTGTGTATTACGCATATAACGATTGTCGGTCATGGACGTCTCCTGCATGATGGGTTGTGACATTGGCTGCAACATGCTTGCGGGGCCACAATCAAGTGTAGCATCTTGAGCATCGGCACGAACAAGGCATGACGGCTGACACATTCACTACAACTCAGACACAGCACAGTCAGTGAGCCTGCAGCTTTCCCAAGGTGCGAAGATGCCGAGCCTCCAGAAGGCGCCGGGAAATGAGTCCATTGTCTCTCTCTCTCTCTCTCTCTCTCTGACACTCTGTCTGTCTTACACAAGCATTGTGCTCGGACCAGTTTCTTTTGCTCGGTCGGTCTTTGGCATCCAGAGCCCTTCAGGCTCCTAGGCCCGACTACGAAATGCGAGACTGGACCTTCATCTCATCAATGCAGGGACACAGCTTCGACTTGCTTGGCCAGGCTGTTTTAGCTGATCCAGTTCACTGTGCAAAACCACTGATCAGTCCATGCAATCCAAGCAAGTATCTGTCGTCTCCGGCCCAAGATCATGATCGCTAGTGGTCGTCACGGTCTGTGAGCGAGGAAGCACGTCGAGGCGGCACTCAATGTTGACCAGTGCCTCCAGTAAGCCCTCCTCAAGCTCGCGAAACTTCGCAGGGAGTGAGCTCACATCCGATTGCGAAGAGCTCAGTTTGTCTACCTGTGAACGGAGCAAAGTCACTTCCGTCCACAAACGATTCAGCTTGTCTATCGCCTCTGTCACGGTAACCCACAGCGCATCAACCCTTTGTGTGTCGGTTGCCAAGTAGGATGCAGGCGGCATGTCGGGTACAAGCCTCGAGCTGTCACGGCTCCCAGCCAACACACAGTAAACAATCAGAAACCATTGGCTCTTTTTTCTCTGTCTCTCTCTCTCTCTCTCTCTCTCTCTCTCTCTCTCTCTCTCTCTCTGTGTCTCTTTGTCTCACGGCCACTCTCTCAGTGACCAGGATGGTTGGGCCACTCTCTCAGTGACCAGGATGGTTGGGCCACTCTCGCAGTGACCATGATGAGCTCGTGTCGTGACTGACAGTGATTCATTCGTTGCAGCGACAGCAAAATTGCCGGGCCTGACAGGCTCCGGGAAGCCACACCGTGTCGGCCTTGGTAATGCTACAATGACATTTGAGTTTCGCGTTTGACATAAGAATCAGCACTGGGAGAGTGCTTGCTTCAACACTCAGAGCAGCACTTGCAGCACTGCAGCAGCAGCATTGAGCCTGGGAGAATATTCATTCATAGCCCAAGGTCACACTGCGAGAATGCACAGCCGCTCTCTCAGCGGCGACCGTTCTGGGGATGACGAGTGGGCCACTCTCTCAGTGACCCCATCGACTGTCATGCACGGAAATGAACTGACTGACAGGCCGATTTCAGTGCCTGGCTCCAGAAAGGTGCTGGCCTTGGTGTCAGAGTGAACAGACGTGACATCAAAGCACGCCTGAACTGTCACTTCAGGTGCCTGGCCCCGGAAAGCCACACGGCGCTGGCCTCGGTGTGGCGCAGTATCACAGTGATCGCTGCGGGAGTGACATCAAACCTTTATGGTCACTGCGAGAGTGACATGAAACCTTTCTGGTCACTGTGAGAGTGACATGAAATCTTTCTCGTCACTGAGAGAGTGACATCAAATCTTTCTCGTCACTGAGAGAGTGACATCAAGTCATCGAGGCTCTCGTTAAAACCTGGGTCGGCTTAAAACTCGGGTTTCGGCATGGGAGTCCGCTTTCTCCCGGGGTAGGCGGACTCCCACGAGAATATAAACATGTCCACAGTAATTGGCTCAATTATCCAGCTCCATCCTGCCTGGCACACCATGGCTAAATCTCCTGCCTTGCGTGTGCAGAAACCTCGGACATCACGCAAGGCGACGACGAAGAAGAGATCCGTGAAGAGCAGAGGAAAAGCATCCAGCATGCCCGGGCAGTTGTGGGCTATGTGGCTAGCACATGTTCACAAAAGTGGTTCATGCTGGCTGCACGCCTGCTTGCTCCTAACACATCTTCTGTGCTTGCGAGTTACAGAAGCATTACAGCTACGTGCAGGACACTTCAATTGGAAGGCTCGAACAGTCTTGATACAGCCGCTCAAAGGCCAGAAATCTGTGAAGAAACCCATGATTTCGGCCGTGTTTCAGGTTTTGCGCCATTTAAAAAGCAAGGGTCTTAGCAAACAAAGGAGCCGCGCAAGAGGAATCCTGGGTAAGCGTCCTTTCCAAGATGTGTGGACCTTCCCAAAGGAAAATAATGCCTTGTTGTTTCCTGCTGTTCGTAAGGATAGCAAACAAGTAAATCGATGCAAAGACACTGTGTGCAAAGCCATCCAGCGGCTTCGTAAAACGTTTCAGACTCCGAAAGGTGTTTGGATTGACACGGAGAAAGTCAGGTCTCACAGCGGTCGACAGAAGATGGTGCAGGATCTAAAACTGGCCTCTGTGCCAGAGGAGGTTGCCATGCTGTACGCACGAATCGCGGATGCCAGGCCGGCCACATCACTACCCGAAAGTCTTGTCCACACTGACAGTTTCAGTCCTGTGTCTGCACAGGACATTCCGAGGATACGGACAGATTGCTGAGGACCAAGCAGGTGAAATCTTGGAGCAGAACGCAGACCTGAAGCGTCTTCTGCGTTTATCGTATCAGAAGAAGAATCAGAAGAAGAAATGACTGCCATATTTCTCAACATCGTCAGACCTGAAGGTGCGTGCAGACGCACACTGACACGTACCCCAGACAGACAACCACAAAAATACATGTGTATACATATATATATAAACACAAACAATCACTCTCCTCTCGCTCTCTCTCTGTCTCCCTGTCTCTCTCTCTCTCTCTTCCCCTCTCTCTCTCTCTGTCTCTCTGTCTGTCTCTCTCTCTCTCTCTCTCTCTCGCTGTCTTTTTTGTCCGTGTCGGTGTTTCTCTCTATATCTATCTGTCTGTCTGTCACGCACCTTCATGTGCATGGGAAGAGAAGATGTACTCAAAGCCTCGCGCATTTGTTTCACTGCTCCGTGTACAGGCTGGACTGTTAATGCAAAGCTCTGGAGAAGCGATCGCCACAATGACAGAATGTCCGGCCTTTGCGTACACCTTCTCCTCGCACGCACACGAAGACTGATTCCTGGAGGCTGTGACCTCGAAGCAGCCAGGACTATTTTGCCATGCCCTCAGGTCATGTCGAAAAAAACGCACTGCTCTGGGCTTGCACAGTGACCTCGTCGCTGCCTTTTGTCATGCCACTGGCTTTCGCAGTGCAAACCTTTCTAAACTGCCATGAGACACCTGCTCCAGAGTTCCATTAGTCTCTGTGTGTGGCTACTGTATGCTGCAAACCCAACAAGAAGCCTGGCTGAAACGGTCTCAGGTGCAAGGCAGTTGAAGAAACAAATAATTCTTGGCTAGCCATTCGGATCTTGTAACAGTAACAAGAAGCAGCATGTGTGATTCATAAAAAATTAAAGCAGCATTCTTGCAGTTTGGTCTTCTATACTCTTTATGTGAACTCTGAGGCGAGCCAATGAACACATAGGCACATCCCCGGCGGCGAGCCAACACAGAGGCGCAATCGGTACAATCTCCTGCGCTTGTGTCCTGGAAAACTAGATTCAAAAAGCAGGTAGCTGTGCTGGCCAGGCATTCCCACATTTGCTTGCCGTTTCAGGTGCCGAAGAGTACGTTGACTAACTGTTGGTGTCTGGACCGTCTGCACACACTAATCAAGAGGCCAATGACCAGTCACAACACCTTCGGGTGCCGTGGCACCTGCAAGCTTGGCTCAGCCTTCTTACGCCACGGGCTCGGCTGATGGTCCTTCACTTGCTGTCAGCTCGATTGCCGTTTGAGGGCTGAGTGGCACGGATTCTTTCAAGACAATCAAAGGTCGGCATGGAACCAGGTCGGCGACCACTTAGAGGCCCACACCAAAGTAGATGCCCATGTCTCCCACCGAGAAAATGGAATGACTCCGCCCATGTGATGGACCGGGACACATGTCTTGCCATCCTGGTCCTTCACAGTCGACTTGCCTTTCTGACAGACTTGCACAGGACACAAAGGGCTTAGCAAGCCCAGCTTAGCAATCATGTTCCACAACTCCCCCACAAAGGGGCTTCAACTCCAAAAGTAGAAACCAGTACCAAAATCATGCTGGATGCAGTCAGCCGGGATTGCCTGGATCTCCCAATAGATTGTGTGAGTTTGAGACATCGTGAAGAAGGCTGGCTTTGTGCTTGTCGGCGAATCGCAGATCTTGTGGTAGGACACAGTCACATCCGGCTGGGTTTTGCGCCGCTCCTAATATCAGAAAGGGCCGAACGTTTTTAGGCTAGCTGCTGGTAAAAGCGTGGAGTTAAGGGGGGCCGGGGGAGCTTCTCGTTTGTCTACGATCTCCTGCACTGCTTCGCCCAGGGTGTGCACTTTGCTTCCGATCTGGATCAAGCTGTCGGCATCCTTCAATGTGAACAAGATGTCACTCTCTTTGACAGAAGCCTGGTCTTTGCTGCCCTTGTGCTGCCACCACTTCCCCTTGTAGAATCCGGCCACGCAGGTGTTCTTCTCCAACACCACGTCCTTGTCCTGGCTGTGATTGACCAAGAAGATCCTCTCCCCCAAAGTGATAATCACTGAAACCTTTGCCTTGGCAGACTTTGGCAGATGCAAGTCTGCTTCCCATGTAAGTGGCTTCGGAAGATCTTTCAAGGGAATTGATCGCTTGGCCACGACCTCTGGATTCACAAGGGTCTCCACCTTCTGCTTCTTGGCAACTCGGCCTTGTGTGCCATCAGCTTCCCTCTTCAAGCCACTGCCGGAGCCACTGCCCGAGCCACTGCCAGCGCCACTGCTCTTGTCTGCCTTCTCCGGTGTCAAGTCAAGAGGAAGCTCCTCCCTCGATTTTTGCAAGAATTCTTCGAATTCTGTTTTGAATCTCGCGTGATCGCCCCATGCCGCGAGCACCCGGTCGGGCGTCTTGAGGCTCGGAAGGCCTTCGTACTTTTGCACCTTGTTGAGCAGCAGAGTCTGCAGATTTGGTAGCGGGGGTGCGGCTTGCTGCAACTCGGTGGGCATCTCAATCGGGGGAAGGCTCATTGTCGGTGGCAGCTGGAGGCTCCCGTCCAAAAAGCTGTCTGCCAGCCAGTCCCTCACGAAGGATCTTGACCACTCGAGCTCTCCCTCGCTCCTTGTCAAGCCCAGGTAGTACACGGGCAACTTGGTCTCAGCCAGGGCGGCTCTGCTGAAGTCACAGGTGTGCGGGCTCAAGTCAATGCACAGAAACGCACTTCTCGTACCCGCAGTGGCTCCAACTGTGGAGTCCTGGGCCAAGAAGCCTCGGAGGATCGACCTCGCTGCTGACTCTCCGATCTGCATTGCCTTCTCTGGCTGGGGCACATGGACATGGGCATCGGTGGTTGTTGGCAATGCCGCAGGATCCAGATCCTCTATCGCCAGAAGGTCCCGGGTCTGGGGAAGGTCCGCCTCTTCCAATAGGGGTTTTCTGAAAATGGCGGACAGTCGCCAGTTCTCCTGAGCCCGTTCAGCAGCCACTTCGTCCATCGGCATCAAAATGCGGGTGAGCATGAGCAGTGGCCTGACACTGTCACAGTCAAGTGAATCACACGTGACCAGAGTCCCACATCCCGGAATAACAACACAAATCAAACCCCATTGGAACCTCTTCTCTCGGTCGTCGTTGCGCCCTTTGTAGGGCACCACAGCAACGTGGTCGAGATTGAGGTTGGACTCCGCAAGGAGCCTCAGAGCCTCCTGCTCTGTCTTGTGAAGCTGACCC